GAAAAGAGAAAGGAGAACGAGAGAGAGTTAGAGGGAGAGTGGGGGCGGGGGTTGGCTAAAATACCCTAAACATTCTTTATTGTCCAATCTTGTTTGTAAACACTGTTAGGGGTTCAAAATTTCAATCCAACGTTGAAATTTGGCTATGGACACTTGGTCAAAATTTTCATAAAGAAGAAATGAAAAAGTCGGAGCGGAGCAATCTATTTATAGGGCACAATTTTACTCTAGACTTGCTATCAGGTTTTTTTTAATTACGAACATAAGAATTTGGTAATTGGGTTTGGATTTTGGGATTCTAAACCCAAAATTGAACAAGGTCTGGAATAACAACATATTGGTCAATATTTGGAGAGTAACATATCGATCGATATATCCTGACATGTCCCAATATTTATCCTAAAAACGCCATACCACTACAAAATGATATTGTGGCTTTGAAGCTCCTAAATTGACATGCCAACAACAATGTCTAACAAGTCATCCACCATTTAAAACCTTGTTGACGTGTGTTATATAGGTGACCCCGATTATGTCCCGATTATGACCCGTTCAAATCCTTTTTGGTCGTGATTTTGGTCTTCCATAGTGCAAAGTTGCACCAGCTCAGAATTTGAGGTCCTCCATTGATGAGAGGGGGAGAGAAAGAGGAAAGAGATCGGGATAGAGAGAAAGAGGGTGGAGAGAGAAAATTAAAGAAGCATCAGGTTCTGTGCATTAAGATTCTCCTTGTATCTAAAAATTGATAGTAGTTCAAAAGTTACATCTGCTAGTTGATGTGATTGGGATAAAGAGAATAAAGGAGATTACAATTTCGCCTTTGAAGTTAATGGTTATTATTTGTGCTCAGAGTGCAACAAGCTTTAGCATTTGAATTATTTGTTTATTAAATGGGTCGGGTTGAGTTACTCATTTATTTAAAGTGTTGGGTCGGCTAACCAATGAAATAACCTAGTTGGGTTAGGTTAGGTCAAGCTTGTACGAGTCAGGTAAAAATTAAACCGATCCAAAATTGATCAACATGATCCGTTTGCCACATCTAGGTTCTACAAAGTCTTGATGATGAGAAGTTCATTGGAAACAAGAAAAATAAAAAGTTGGAGAAAGCACAGACTATAAGCTTCATTAGAAAAATTATTCTATCTTCTAAAAATAAGAAGAGTTGTATTGGAAAGATGTGGGTTATTAGAGGCTGAACAAAGTAATCTTCCAGATATGGTAGAATTGGGTCTTTTTGTTGTAAATGTTGAATTAATGACATAACTCT